TTTGCTAGGGGTTGGGGAGAAGGCCTGAGAGAAGAAAGCCAGTTAATTTTATCAGGCAGCCAAGAGCCGAGAAGGCGTGAAAGAAGAAATTAGCCTAACGATGTTTCATTTGCGGAGAGAGAAACGATTTGTTAGGTGGCGATTGTTTCTGGGCATTATCAGAGTCTTTTTAATTGTGCTGGAACTGAAATTAGCAGAATTAGAATAAATTGCCTTTCCTTCTCGGGCAGCCTCTTTATTCACGGTTATTGTTGTCTGCTTTGTGTAGATTATAGGGCTCTTTGTTCTCCCCCGTAAATATCCATGCCTGGAGTCAGAGAGCAGCTGAGGTCCGGAGACATTTTTACTGTGTGGCTTTTTCGCTCTCTCCTCCCTGGCCAGCCTCCTACCCACCCCTGCTGTTCTTTCTCCAGCTGCATTCCTAAGAACATAGCTATGGATAGGGCTGCTATAATTAGGGATCTTCCAGCCTAACTCCCTAATTTTTACAGATGAGGAAACTGAGGCTCAGAGAATTGGGCAGCTTCCCAAAATGATCCTCTCAACACCCCCCGCCCCCCCCCAGTGAGGGGCAAAGCTGGACTAGAGCTCTAGCTGGCAAATCCTCTCCATTGTGGAATTAACACCAGGAGTCCCCACAGGTTTGAGCCTTTCAGAATGGCTCGACAAGATGCTCTACCTAGCAGCCCCTGTTCCTACCTTTCACAATGGCAGCATGGACATTCTTCCTTGGAATACAGCCTATATTTATATAGCACTCTAAAGTTTACCAAATATTTTGTCTTTGAGGCCTGGGCTTTTCTGACTTGTGGGTTAAATTTCCAGCAGAATTCGTCTGGTTTCCAAACCTTCTCTTCAAGACTTTCTCCATCATGGATCCCTCTCCCTTTTGTCATTCATGGTTGATGAGTTGGGGGATGGGGAAATGGCAAAGCCTTCTGGGAAAGTAACCTGCAAATGAGCACAACTCAACTTGTCATGTTTACCATCAGCTAATTAATTCCTCCTCAGCCCCACGCCTGTAATTTGGGTAGAGGCCAGCAGGTGAATGGTGGTTGTCTATAACCAGTCACTGTAGGCAAACTCAGACCTGTTAAGTCATGGTAAACATCACATGGATTGGCAGTTGTGGGATCGAAGGCATCGCAAGAGGAAACTGTAATCAACACCTTTCAGGGTGGCCTTGCAAATGCCTCCATCACACAGGTATGCCATTTTCTTTGGAGTCCTCACTGCTTTCCTTCTTTCTTCTGTTGTTACAGAGGAATCTTTTTGAAGGAAGGAATGAAACCATTAGACATGTTTGTCAGTAGGGGAGGAAGTCTTGACCAATCAAGGAAGTGATATGGAAAACCAATGAGGGACCCTAGTGTGACACAGCCTGGAATGCTTGTATGTGAACTGCATTTATCTCCGGTTTCCTTGGTTTTCTCGTTGGGGCAAATGGCATAGGCATTGTCCTCTCTTCCTGGAATAGAGCTGGGAAGGTGCTGTCTTTCCCATGAGCTCCCTTCCTACCTTTCCTGGGCCATCAGGGGAGCGGAGATTCCCTCTGAGACTGCCTTCAACAAAGCAGATAATTATTATTCTCTGCAGAACTCGGTATTGTTGCCACTTGTTACTGTTAATAATTCCTGCTTTGCTCTTTGCTCCAAGGAGCTGCGGGCACTTCTCAGAGAAGTATTATTATTCCTGTCTTGCCGCAAATTAAGGTGGAAAAAAGAAAGGGAGGGGAGAAAGATGCTTAGGAAGGAAGTGATTCGCCCCAGGGGGCTATACATGTTGCCTTGGTCCACGCTGAGGAATAACCCAGTTTCAACCCAAGGAAAATTCTATACCCCAGATAATTTAACATCCTTAACTAATGACTGGCTTTTCATTCTATTGGTACTGTACAGTTCATGCTTACAAACTGGTGTTCCCCAATCTTTTCAACTCTGACACACTTCCATATTTGTTGAAGTACACCGGGTACACTCACCATTCACCTACTCGTTAAATCACCAATGCTCCTTCCGTACTACATAGCTCTCACCCCATTATAGTCTCACACATATATAGTTGCAACTAGTATTCAAAATGATTAATATCCAACATTAACCAACAAATGTCCAACATTACGCAGTGTAAGAATGATATGTTCAAACACACACAAGAAAAAACCACTCTTTTCTTAAGTCGTAAGCCGTTGAATTTACCAGGTAAATCATGAAAAAGACATTCATGAAATTGATAACTCAATCACCCCTTAAGCAAAGGTTTATATGCGTGTTGAACACTAGATAATGCTTTGGACTAATGTTGGAGATTAGCCTAATATTAATTATTAAATTGGGCACATAGTGTCATAAAATCATTAAACTTTAGCTCTGGGAAGGATGTGAAATGACGTCAGATTTAACCTGAATCATTCTCCTTTTTATACATAACATAACATGGTCCTGAGCTATTCATTCATTCATTGTCCTCTCTCTACCAAAGCTACCACCGGTTCCACTCCCTAGCCCAATGGAGAAGCAACAGTCAGAAATGGGAACTCTTGGGATGCTCGGACACAGTTCATCCTTTGTAGAGTTGGGATATACTCTGCGGACACTCCCCAATTCTCTTTTCTGTGTTCTAAAAAAGCAAAGTGGGGATTTTAATTTCTTTGGTAAATGTTCGAAAGGTTTCGTTTGTCTCCATCAGATAACTGGAGACATTAAGGCTGGGGAGTGCTTCCGTAGGCACCAGAACCCAAATCCCATGGGGGTTTTGGTGTCTCTCATCAGGCTGACTGATTCATGATATGAGGGACATTATACAGATTCTGTTAGATGACCCTTGGGGTCTCTGCCTGCTGAGACTCTGTGACTTCCCATAGCATCTAGGTAGCTCAGTGAAAATCTGGGCCTAGAGCCAGGAAGACCTGAGTTCAGATCCAGTCTCAGACTCGTCCTAACTGTGTTACCCTGGGCGAGTCACTTAACCTCTACCTCAGTTTCCTCAACTGTAAAATGGAGATTATAACAGCATCTACCTCCTTACCAGAGTTGTTGTGAGGCTCAAATGAGGCAATATTTATAAAGCACTTTGTAAACCCTAAAGCCCTATATAGATGCTAGGTCTTATTATTTAAATGTTTCTTGGGGGATATTTATATCCAGCCTTGAATTGCACTTATTTAAGATTATGGAGCATGAGATTTTAGGGATCATCTTGTTCTCATTCTACATCTAGTTAGTGGAAGAGATTAGGAAGAAATTAGGAGTAGAACCCAAGACCCGGGACTCTTGTTTCAGTGGTTTCTCTCATTTGTACCACGATTTGCTCACGTATCTAATCTCTCTACTAGACTGTAAGTGCCGTGAAGCCAGGGAGCACATCACTCTTCTCTGTATCATCTTAGTGCCCAGCACAGCCCTTTAGCCTTCATAGGCCCTTCATAAATGTGCATTAAGTACAACATGGAAAGGCCAGGGTGCTAATTCAGCCTCTGCCACCGCTTCCCAGGGGACCCTTGGCAAGTCACCCAGGTTGAATCAGCTGACCTCTGAGGTCCTTTTCAGCTCTAAAGCCTATGATCGTCTTCACCTCCTCACAGAAACAGCTGGCCTACATACAAGTCAGCAAATGCCTTGTGTTTGCAGTCTAGGACTATATGTATTTGGAATACACATTTTTGGATGTGACCAGTGTGGGAATTTGTCTTGCATGTTTGTTAACAATGGTTCTGTTTTTCTTTTCTTTCTTTTTCACTGAGGGAGGGGAGATGAGAAGAAGAAAAAATGCATGCTTGTTAATTGAAAAAAAAAAAGAAAGAAAGAAAGGTGTGTGTGTGTGTGTGTGTGTGTGTGTGTGTGTGTGTTTTTAAGGCTAAGACCTGTGAGTTCTTGTACATATCCCTAGCCTGGGCCTGCTCTGGGGCCCTTCTAAGTAGCTTAGATCTCCCCAAGGGTTTAGAGTTTACTCCCCCTCCCCTTCTCCTGACCTTTTTGCATGCTGGAAGCCTGCCTCCATTCCTACTCAGTCCCAGAGGCCAGGATTGCCTTGGGGAGTAGATAGATAAGTTTAGACAGCAGCAGAATGGTTACTAACCAGCCAGGCCCCTTCTCTGTGGTGCATTTGATAGAATTTTACACTTGGTATCAGGCAGAATCAGGTTTGAATCGTCTTTCAAACACTTAGACAAGTCACTTAAATTCTTTGGGCCTCAATTGCCTCATCTGAAAAATGGGAATGATGTCACCTCACCTACAACCTCGCCTCGTGGTTTTAAGGGCCAAAGGAAATGATGTATGTCTGCTGTTGCTGTCACTTTCCCCATCCCAACCTTCTTAGCCTTTGACAAATTCAACAAAGGACCTGAGGCCTTCTAGCTCTCTTTGGTAACTTATGATGACAGCTTGACCATCTACAGACTGATCTAAACTTTTGTCTAGTCTATCCCTGTTTCCTTCAATTTCTGTCCTTGTATCTCCGTCACCTGATACAGTGCCTGGCGCACAGTAGGCTCTTAGAAGCCATCTATCTGGTCCATCCTCTTCATTTTACAGATAAGGAAACTGAGGTCATCAGAGAAGCAGTGACTTGTCCGAAGTCACACATGTAGTTAATAGCAGAGCTAGAATTTGAATCCAGATCCCCTGCCTCTCAATCCAGTGCTCTCCCCACTGTACTATACTGTCCGATAAGGAAGCACTTCCTGTTATTTGTGCTGAGTGGTTGCTTTGATTGGGTTTTAGCTGGGAAAGCATCAGGCATTCTAGGATTCAGGAGTCAGTCAGTTAGGATGTCTTCTCCTTCCTATGAGTTTTAACTACATCCTGTGCCAGCACTGTTCTTTCCAGACCAAAAGGGCTTGATCTTTGTGATCTATTCCCATGCCCGGTTTTCATGTTGGAATAGAGGCTCCCCCAGTGATGCCAGGTGTGAGAGTGAACAACATTGGGTCTGCATTGGGTATGGATCCTTTGGAACACCACAGCTGCATGAGCGTCATCTTGGTTTTCTTTTTAAAGGTTCTCTTGGTGACATGGAGGAAGGAGAAGACAATCAGGCCGAGGATGCCAGCCAATCAGAGAAAGAGGGGGGAGCTTCAGATCCTGAGGCATCAGGAGAGTGTGAGCCCTTCAGCCCTCCCTGCAGCGGTAAGTTACAACCCCTTTCTCTCCCCATCTAAGACAGGGCTAGTCCTTGTCCAGTATATCCCCAGGAAATCAAAGTGGGTCCAAAAGGGCTTAAAACGGCAGATCTCAAAGCATGCTCCAAGGATCCCTGGGAGTCCCCAAGAACCTTTCAGGGCTACCTAGGGGTCAAAACCATTTTCACCATAATATGAAGATGTTACTTGCCTATTAAGCTACACCTTTTTCCAGCTACATATCTGTGTAAGACCAGGTTTTCTCCATATACTTCAGCTAAAACTACCTATTGTAATAGATTGGATGAATGCAGAAGCAGATATGAGAATTCAGCTGTCTTCTATTAAGATAGACATTAAAGAGATTTGCAAACATATGTGAAATGATGCTATTCTCACCAAATTTTTTTATTGTTTTGGAAAATATAGGAATTTTTTCACAAAAATGGTATTTATGCTAATATGTAATTGACTTACCATTATTTTAAATAATTTTTTAAAAAAAATTATCCATTTTAATTTCTACTATAGTAAATATTGATAAATATAACCAGGGATGTACTGGTAAATAGCTTTCCAAAAAACAATGTGTACACTACTTTTCAGTCGAATTGGCATTATCCCTGTTTTCTCTTTCACTATTTCACACCCCTAGCTAGACAATCAACAAAATAATAAACTGAGGTTGGATTTGTTCCTCTCAGGAGCTGGGATGAGTTGACTCCAACACAGCCCTGGATATAACCCACAGAAATAAAGGCTCATTGAGGTTCTCCATAATTTTTAAAAGTGTGCAGGTGTCTGGAGGCCCCAGAAGGCAGAGGGAACCTCTGGCTTTGAGGATCGTTAATTGTTTGAGCTGGAAGAATCTTTTAGATGCCATCTTGCCCATTTTTCTCTGTGCTTTCATCAGCATGGGGAGCTCCCGTAGAGGAACCTTCCTCACCCACACAGACAATGGCCTTCTCTGTAATTTACACTTGGGACTGGGGCATGCAGAAGTTAAGTGACTTGCCCAGGGTCACAGAGCCAATATGTGTCAGAGTTGGAATTTGAACCCAGGTTTTCTTGAGGCTGCAAGGATGTTGAGGACTGGGGGAGAGGGAGGCCTCGTTTAAACCCCACAATTAGGGAGGTCTACACTGGAAGCAGTGACCCCAATCATGTATTCTTCCCTTGGACCATGACTTGTCTGAGAGGAAGGCAGGGATGCTGACTGGAGGCATTATGGGCCCTGGTTAGTTACCTCTGAATTCCAGCCTAGTATAGCAGGAGGTGGTAATTATCTGGGGTTTCTTCCTTCTTTTCTGCCACATAAAGGACCTTTGAGTCCCTCCTGTCCACATTGGCCATTAGGCATGGGGCCAAGTTGCTGGCACTTTGGAGGTTAATTGGAATTTATCCCCCTGTGCCCTGCCCACAAGCTCTTCATTAATTACCCATAAGGGACTTTTCTCCTTCTTACAACCACCTGCTATGGCAGTCTAGTTTGGAGAGCTTTGGTGGCTGAGAAAAGAGGAAGCCCAAATCGCCAGGTGGGCCCATCAGTCCTTCACCTTCCCTCTAGTTTAGGGCCACTGGCAACCCCCAACAGTAGGGATAGGTGGCTCTATGCCTGTGTCCCTGGGCCTACCTCCCTCAGACCTCAACCATTTCCTACCCATAAGAGCCCTCTCCTTCATTCAAGGTGATTCAAGGACAAAGAGCCCTTTCCAAACCTGGTACCATTTGCCTTTGAGTCCCTTTCCAAGAAATTCTTCAGCTCCTCTTTGAGGACAAATTGTCATTAGAATCCAGAACCTCCAGGCACGGCAGTCTAAACCGCTCTGGGGATTGGTCTTTCTGATACTGAAGCTCCAGATCGGGGTGAGGGGTGGGCAGCAGGTGTATGGCAGGAAGAGAAGCACAGTCCTCCTCATTGCTTCAGACCTCAGGACACTTCTTTCGTCCAGTGAGAGGATTTGCTGAGAGATATGGAGATATGGTAGGTGCAGGCCTGGCTGGCCTTGGAGTCAGGAAGGACTGTCTTGGAAGCATTAGAGAGCCACTGAAAATGTTTAAGTATTACAGTCTTTCTACTAATTCACTCTGTGACCTTAATTCAATACAGTTCAATTCAATATACATTTATTAAACTCCTACTTTGCAGCAAGTACTGTGCTAAGCATTGGAAGCCTTGGGGGGAAGTCACTTTTCCCTTTCTGGGTCTCAGTTTCCTGATCTGTAAAATGGGGATGTTCATAAGGTTTTAGATTGGCAAAGAATATTAGAGATCTTTTGAGGAACTCGTTGAGAGTTCACTACCAAGGTCGAGGGCGTTGTAGCAAATACCAGCCCTGGCTGCTTATGCGGCCTCTTCTCTCTTGCCTTAAAATCATAACATGTGAGTATTTCAAGAGATCTTAGGGATCATCTCATTTCACCGACAGGGCAACCAAAGCCCAGACTTGTCCAAGATCATGTAGGAGGTTAATAGCAGAGCCAGGACTAGGGCCCATGGTCTAACTTTCCTCCATTAGGCCATTCATTAGGGGCAGCCAGGTGGAGCCGTGGAGAGAGCTCTGGACTTATACTGAGGAAGACCTAAATTCAAATCCGGGCTCAGACACTCACTCGCTGTGTGACCCTGGGCAAGTCACTTAACCTCTGTCTGCCTCAGTTTCCTTAACTGTAAAATGGAAATAGAAGCAGCACCTACCTCCCAGGGTTTTTGTGAGAATCAAATGAGATAATAATTGTAA